TTCCACAAATCTGGCCTTTTTCGACGAATTTGCTCTCTCAACGCCGCATAACGCCCAGATAATATTCTTTATTTACCGTTTGACCTTCTGGCAAAAATTGCGAGTGCACAACACCACGACAATCAAAGAAAACAGTTAACATCACTTTGACTTTTGATCGACTTTGACATGGTTTTTCACCACATCTCGATCGCTTTTCAATGCACTGTACCATTCATATGCACGTGTTTTTGATAAAGTCGATTCACCGTAAGCCTTCTGTAACATCTTCAGCGATTCGGCACACGAAATTCCATTTGCAATACAAAATTTGAGACAAATTCTTTGTTCGATCTTTTCATTCATTGTAAAAATCGCAAAACACACTTGAGATGAACTGATAAAATCGAGCACTATAATCACATTAAATGACAGATAGCACTCCAACTCCGCGTCAGTATAGAGGACAGTTATGCCAACTTAGCGACAAAAAGAATTTTGACAATTCCTTTAAGCGGGCTTTTAAAATGATCAATTCCCGATACTTTTTTGACAGAATGTATACATTGTACAAAATTGTTTTTTCCCTTGTTCAACGAATTCCTTTGAAGGATAACCAAATAAGAAGGTATCAAATTTATTATGAAATAGACAATAAAAATTTTTCTCTCTTTCTTTTAATAATTATTATATTGGAAATGATGTTACGTCCAAACCCTTGAAAATTTGGTCAAGGAGACAATGAGAGAGAATGGAGAGGGTGTGGAAGGATGGTTAGACTCAATCTCACAGGTACACGTGCGGAGGCGAACCCCTATGAGTCGTACGCACCTTTTCAGTCCCGAATATGGGTCAACGTCCGAAGGGACGCTATGACATCTGTTCCACTGGACAGTGCAAACGTCGATCCTACTTCTTGGATCAAGGAACTTAATCCTTTTGACTCGGGACTGGACCTCGTGCGACCTCAGGTATTAGAGGGAAGCGAATTCGAGAGGTGATTTTAATAAAAAATAGGGGAATACATTTATGAATAAAAAGAAAAATAATAAAAAAAAGGTTTTATACATTATAAAACTCCTCTCTTCCTTTTTTACATAAAAATATATATTACAGCTTATGGATGTGCGTGCGTGCGTGCGTGCGTGCGTGTGTGCGTGTGTGTGTGTGGAGAGGAAAGGATTAACGGGTATGGGAAGCGAGGAAAGTGTTGCAGGAGCTCATCGGAATGAGATGCTTGTAGAGAATGGTGTAAGGTTTGGGGTTTTCGGGGATGTATACAGTGATTAATCTGTCCCTTTCGTTAGAGGGGGACAAATATAGCCTGAACATCCGATCCCAGTCGATCGACTTGGGATTCGGTTGAAACGGGAGAGGCGGGAGGAGAGCTGATCCAAAGGAGGAGGGAATGAGAATCCTTCTTCGTTAGAAGGAGGGGGAGGGAATCGTTCCTCGTGAGGAGGAGGGAAATAATCGAGGATTACCTGAATAGCAGGATCGATAACAGGAGGAGAGGTGAGATCTAACGGTTGTGTCTCTGCTGTTGGTGAATAGGAGATCTCGGCGAATTGTTCGGTTGTAGCGGCGCGATTGTGGGTGGCCCTGAGGTTCCGTCTACTCCTCCGGACATAGGGGGTTCGTCCGCGTTTCCTAATGGTACGCACTACGAACCGAAGGATTGAAATTGATATGTGTTCGTTGGAAACGCGTATAAATGTATTTAAGTACAATGTGTTTCCATGCGGGGAAACGCGGGGGTGGACTGGAAAGAATAATGATTTACT